GAGTAAAGAATATGTTATTCATTTACTTGATTTATTAATGAAGGCTTACTCGTACAATGAGGTGAACATTTTCCCCTCGGCAGAAAAATTAAAAATATTTTCAAACACGCAGAAAAGTAAAAATAAACAAATTATATAACTAGTTTGCAAAAATCTTGAATTTTCCTGTTTTCGCTTCTTCTCTGTATTAATTAAATAGAGAAAAACTTGCATCTGCAGCTAATAAATATATCTAAAGGAAACATTCATTTACAAGTTTGCTTATATGTCAAGTGTCTTACTGGCTGACTTGTGAGCTCTCTCTCTCTCTCCCTCTCTCTCTCTCTCTCTCTCTCTCTCTCTCTCTCTCTCTCTCTCTCTCTCTCTCTCTCTCTCTCTCTCTCTCTCTCTCTCTCTCTCTCTCTCTCTCTCTCTCTCTCTCTCTCTCTCTCTCTCTCTCTCTCTCTCTCTCTCTCTCTCTCTCTCTCTCTCTCTCTCTCTCTCTCTCTCTTGTTTTCCATTTTTCCGGGACGTGAAGGCAACCTCGGGTATACAGCAAGATATCTTTCCCAGCCCAGCAAACCAGATTTTTTTGCCACTCAGTGAGCGTGACTTACTGGCCACTCAGTGAGCTTGACTTATTGGCCATTCAGAGAGCTTGACTTATTAGCCACTCAGTGAGCGTGACTTACTGGCCACTCAGTGAGCTTGACTTATTGGCCATTCAGAGAGCTTGACTTATTAGCCAGTCAGTGAGCGTGACTTACTAGCCACTCAGTGAGCGTGACTTACTGGCCACTCAGTGAGCGTGACTTACTGGCCACTCAGTGAGCTTGACTTACTGGCCACTCAGTGAGCGTGACTTACTGGCCACTCAGTGAGCTTGACTTACTGGCCACTCAGTGAGCGTGACTTACTGGCCACTCAGTGAGCTTGACTTACTGGTCACTCAGTGAGCTTGACTTACTGGCCACTCAGTGAGCGTGACTTACTGGCCACTCAGTGAGCTTGACTTACTGGCCACTCAGTGAGCTTGACTTACTGGCCACTCAGTGAGTGTGACTTACTAGTCACTCAGTGAGCTTGACTTACTGGCCACTCAGTCAGCATGACTTACTGGCCACTCAGTGAGCGTGACTTACTGGCCACTCAGTGAGTGTGACTTACTGGCCACTCAGTGAGCTTGACTTACTGGCCACTCAGTGAGTGTGACTTACTAGTCACTCAGTGAGCTTGACTTACTGGCCACTCAGTGAGCATGACTTACTGGCCACTCAGTGAGCGTGACTTACTGGCCACTCAGTGAGACTTTGAGTCTTGATTGGCCATTCAGTGAGCTTGACTTATTGGCCACTCAGTGAGCGTGACTTACTGGCCACTCAGTGAGCGTGACTTACTGGCCACTCAGTGAGCTTGACTTACTGGCCACTCAGTGAGCGTAACTTACTAGCCACTCAGTGAGCGTGACTTACTAGCCACTCAGTGAGCGTGACTTACTAGCCATTCAGTGAGCAGTACTTATTGACCACTAAGTGAGTTTGCCTTACTGTCCATTTAGAGAACTTGATTATTTGATCACTCAAAGAACTTGATTTTCTGGCCCCTAAGAAAACTTGTTTTTTTCAGACTTTTTTGTAAACTTGAATTACTGGCTCCTCACAAAGCTTAAATTATTAATCAATAAGAAAGCTTTACTTCCTATCAAGTGCGAGGGCTTAACTTAATGGACCCCTTAGAGCATAACGTACTGGCCATTAAGAAAATTATACTTAATGATCACTGAGAGAGAGCTTAACTTTCTGGCGCCTCAGAAAGCTTAACTTACTGGCTGCAAAAAAAGATTGACTTACAAGCATAACAGGAAGAAAATGACAAAATTACAATAACACGGTAAAGATAAATATATAATAAAAGTCAAAGAAGCAGAATAATGCATCTATATTCCCATTGGTCCCCAATGGAACAGAATCCGAAATCCATTCAGTTAGTGGCAGCGTTCCACAGGGCAGTGTGCTTGGCCCTCTGGTAGTTGAGGAATGTCTATTTCAACGATCTACTTCAAATCATTCCTATTAATGATTTCATAGGAATCATCATCAGCATCAACAGCATAGGCTTTAGCATAGGCTGAAGCCTATGCTGATGACTGCTTTCTAACCTTTACGTACAGAAAGGAAGAAATGCAAACTGCTGCAATACTCATCAATCGCAACTTTCATCTACCTTGTGTAGATGGACAGGTAACACTTACGGCTGAGAAAACACAGTTGATGATGGTAACTAGACTAGACTGCTCTCTCTCTCTCTCTCTCTCTCTCTCTCTCTCTCTCTCTCTCTCTCTCTCTCTCTCTCTCTCTCTCTCTCTCTCTCTCTCTCTCTCTCTCTCTCTCTCTCTCTCTCTCTCTCTCTCTCTCTCTCTCTCTCTCTCTCTCTCTCTCTCTCTCTCTCTCTCTCTCTCTCTCTCTCTCTCTCTCTCTCTCTCTCTCTATCTATATATATATATATATATATATATATATATATATATATATATATATATATATATATATCTTTCTCTCTCTCTCTCTCCCTCTCTGTCTCCCCACTCCTTTATGGTCCCAGGGGTCTTAGTTTGCAACCAGTCTGGGATATAAAACTGTGACTCCCCGTCTTCTCTTGTCCCTATGTTACTAGAAGGATAGACAGCTGAGCGATTGCTGTGGTAATTGTCAGTTCACAGATTTGGGTATGCCGTGGGAAGGACAGTTCGATCTTGGCTTTATATATTTGGTTGGCCCTTGAGTGCCTGCCCCACTCTCTGTAGGCCTGGGTTGGGCTGGGGGTTTTGTGATTGGCCAAGAGGGTCCCTCCAGAGCCTAGGCCTTGCTCGCCAGAATACGGAAAGTGCCGTAGAGGCGGAGCAACAGAGAGCATAGCGTCTTGAGGGGCGGAGCTACAGAAAGCATAGTGTCTTAAGGGGCAGAGCTACAGAAAAGCTAGTATCCTAAAGGACGGATCTACAGAAAGCATAGTGTCTTAAGGGACGGAGCGAGGGCATCACCTCGGTAGTTCTAAGAGCTAGTGTGGGTTGGACTTTGTAAGGATAATGGAAGCAGATCTGGCCCAGCAAGAAGAGATATGAAGCCTTAAGGCTGGAATTATTATGCGGAATTAAGGTAAATGGCTACTTTTATTCACATTAGTGTTAGTCGTCATTTGCCTCTATGATAGGATGTTAGAGATTAGATTCTCACTTATTCTTTAATAATAAACAGTTACAGAATTTACCTGTGCACTTCATTTACTGTCCTTGTCTTTAATTCTTTGAGCATAACAGTTCTAAGTCAGCTTGTATTTCGAGTTTCTCTAGTGATTTTCTGAGTGACAATAATTATAATTAATCCACTGTAATTATGACTTAATTAATAACTACACGAATTCTGTAATTATCAAAAGGTTCTAAATTCCCTTGGTGTATATCCTGGACTTGTCTTCTCACGAGACAAGTATATTAATCTGCTTAATTAATTTCATAATTGAGGAGTGGTGGGTGCAGTTATATTCAAATAATGGTTTTATATAGTTATCGCTGAGTTAATTAACTTTGAAAGAGTTGTTTATTCACCCGGTTACCTCATGCTCATGAATCAGGCTGGTCTGGGGTGTTCCACTGCCAGGATGGGTCCTCACAGCAGTGACAAAGAGAATATTTAAACAAATATCTAATGAAAATCTCACTGGTCTAACAAATTCACAAAAGCCTGAATGTTGTGGCATTGAACCCGGCATATGTGATGTTATAGCGTTCAGAATACGCCTGGGATATAAGCGAATCTGGCAGCTCTCTCAAAATCCAAATGTGGAATACTCAATGTGTCAACTTTGTGAAAGAGAAAACATGCACTCCCTTGAATATTATATATACCATATTGACTGACATTATGAATATCAGTCAATATGGTATATTGTAGAATATACCATATTGACTGACGTTCGCCCTCCTAACCTGAGGTATGCTTAACTCCACTCTGTAAATACTATATATGAATACTGGAACACTTGATGATATATCGGATTTGTACCCAAGATTGACTATGTAATACATCTGTTATACAATGTATTGTACCTATACGATATGTAATACACCTGTTATGTAATGCATGTGCCTATAATCTGAGCTTATAAAAGTATCTTAATCACCTTCAGTGGTTAAGTGTTTAATATCACACTAATTTCTATAGACGCTATATTACCCCTGTCAAAATAGGAGAGACATAGGTTATGTGTATATATGTGCATACCTTGAGGTTACCTTGAGATGCTTCCAGGGCTTAGCGTCCCCTCGGTCGTCGACCAGGCCTCCTGGTTGCTGGACTGGTCAACCAGGCTGAAGAACCTGGTTGACCAGTCCAGGATCTGTCCAGTCCAGTCCAGTCCAGTTACCTGGCTCTGATATGTGTAAGTATATGTGTATATATGTAAATGTGTGTGTATTTGTATACAGGGTATGTGGAATCTGGTCAGAATTTGCATTTCTCCTTTGTAAACGCACATTAATGACACTATGTAAAAAGACACCTCGAACACTGCTTATGTAGGACAAACATAATTCTGTGTATTTATGTTTGTAGGTTACCTTAGCATTTTAAAAGCACTACAATCACCTTCTGTGGTTGATTGTTCAATAAATCACTGAATTAAATGTTTAACAGATCTTTCACCCCGTAAATGGAGGACAGAAGATAATGTATATATGCTGATTAACATTATAAATGTGTGGCCACGTCAGTGGTAGAAAAAAATCATGAGTCAGGCTGGTCTAGAGTGTTCCACTGCCAGGGATTTATCAATTTAAGGATAATTTATTTAAAGGATTAAATCAATCAATTAAGTATAATCAATTAAAGGATTAAGGGGTAATACTGGAGAAGGTACTGTGACTTCACAGTAAGTGGTCAGCGGCGTTGCCCATTATTCAGTCCTTACCAATAGCGACGTTATTAAGGGTGACAACGTAGCACATTATAATGATAATTCCTGGCTCATGTGTTGTGGCGGCCTGGCTCTTGTGTTGTGGCGGCCTGGCTCTTGTGTTGTGGCTGCCTGGCTCTTGTGTTGTGGCTGTCTGGCTCTTGTGTTGTGGCTGCCTGGCTCTTGTGTTGTGGCTGCCTGGCTCTTGTGTTGTGGCTGCCTGGCTCTGCTGCCTGGCTCTTGTGTTGTGGCTGCCTGGCTCTTGTGTTGTGGCTGCCTGGCTCTTGTGTTGTGGCTGCCTGGCTCTTGTGTTGTGCTGCTGGCTCTTGTGTTGTGGCTGCCTGGCTCTTGTGTTGTGGCTGCCTGGCTCTTGTGTTGTGGCTGCCTGGCTCTTGTGTTGTGGCTGCCTGGCTCTTGTGTTGTGGCTGCCTGGCTCTTGTGTTGTTGCTGCCTGGCTCTTGTGTTGTGGCTGCCTGGCTCTTGTGTTGTGGCATTCTGGCTCTTGTGTTGTGGCTGCCTGGCTCTTGTGTTGTTGTTGCCTGCTCTTGTGTTGTGCTTCTGGCTCTTGTGTTGTGGCTGTCTGGCTCTTGTGTTGTTGTCTGCCTGGCTCTTGTGTTGTGGCTGCCTGGCTCTTGTGTTGTGGCTGCCTGGCTCTTGTGTTGTGGCTGTCTGGCTCTTGTGTTGTGGCTTTCTGGCTCTTGTGTTGTTGCTGCCTGGCTCTTGTGTTGTGGCTGCCTGGCTCTTGTGTTGTGGCATTCTGGCTCTTGTGTTGTGGCTGCCTGGCTTTTGTGTTGTGGCTGCCTGGTTGGTGTTCCTGGCTCTCTGTTGTGGCTGTCTGGCTTGCCTGGTGTTTCCTGACTCTTGTGTTGGTGTTTCCTGACTCTTGTGTTGGTGTTTCCTGACTCTTGTGTTGGTGTTTCCTGACTCTTGTGTTGGTGTTTCCTGACTCTTGTGTTGGTGTTTCCTGACTCTTGTGTTGGTGTTTCCTGACTCTTGTGTTGGTGTTTCCTGACTCTTGTGTTGGTGTTTCCTGACTCTTGTGTTGGTGTTTCCTGACTCTTGTGTTGGTGTTTCCTGATGCATATGTTGCTTCCTCCTGGAGTTTGTGTTTCCATAACCTGTTCCTCGGGTTACTGTTTCCTTAAATCATTTTCAATTCACTGCAGTAATTATCAGGAGAAAACGAAAAAGTCACTACGACTATATAGCGCTTGGAAGGGGTCACGATAAAGATTTTGGATGGGACGGGGGAAAGGAATGGTGCCCAATCACTTGGACGGTCGGGGATTGAACGCCGACCTGTATGAATCCAGACCGTCGCTCTACCGTCCAGCTCAAGCGGTTGAGTCATTAGGTCATACCTGCTACCATTTAGAACAATATCTGTTCAGAATACATCTACTTCTTTTAGTCAGCAGTAGGACATTGAAGGGCTTTTTATACCGAGTTATTCGTGTTTCCTCTGTAAGTATATTTAGTTAAAAACGGCTTTGAAATAGCCGGCTTTGAATTTTTGTATTTTGAACTGCTTTGAATTTTTGTATTAACTTTAAATGCAAGTGCTTTATTATTATTATTATTTCATGTGCAGTTCTTGCAGTTTCCAGTGTCCAATATTATCACTGGTGCCGGTGACATGTTTTCAACCAGTTTAACGTAGGACGGCCGGTCGGCCTAACGAGGGAGCTGGTCAGCCGAGCGGATAGCACACTGGACTCGTGATCCTGTGGTCCTAGGTTTGATCCCAGGCGCCGGCGAGAAACATTGGGCAGAGTTTCTTTCACCCTATGCCCCTGTTACCTAGCAGTAAAATAGGTACCTGGGTGTTAGTCAGCTGTCACGGGTTGCTTCCTGGGGGTGGAGGCCTGGTCGAGGACCGGGCCGCGGGGACACTAAAGCCCCGAAATCATCTCAAGATAAGGACTGTTACAGTAAGTGTTAATCGCTTATCATTCCAGCACCACGAACACCTGTGAGAGCCTCGTGGGTCTGTCGTCTAGTTTTACAGAATGGCGAAGAATTACACGAAAGGTAAACAAATTAAAGGTGAATACAGGAAACGCAGAATTTGCATTTATACGAATTAACCTTTGCTTGACACTTTATTAAACGACATGCAAGTGTAGATTTTGACAAGGATGATGCTGGACCATCCAAACTGCTTGTTACAGTAGCACCGTAGACGGCATAAGTTAGTACAGCACGAAGTTGATGAGAGTTGTTCGTGAGAGAATAGTCAGTGAGGGGTTGCGTTGCGCCTGGTCTTACTGGTAGTCGAAGTAATCCATAACTGAGTGAGTAGGAGAGTGCGAGGAGTCTCTTGAAGACGTTTCAGTGAACATTCTTAACTCTTAAAATGCATCTAATACCCTCCGTTGTTGACCGTGATCACTCTGGAGATCCTCAAAGATCATTCCGATCCACGTTTCTCTAACCGAAATAATGCATTCAGAGACTACCAGCGGCGCTGGGAGATACACCTTAGATCCTGTGGCCCTGTTCGTTGAACTTGATGCCCTGACGGCGCTGGTCCTCGGCGATGGCGATCTGTTCGACGGCGTGTGCGGGTAGGGGGTGGGGAGTGGGGATGATGGGGGACTGCACCAGGTACCCATTCTCGTCGGCAGTGAACCTGAACTCAGCGATCGTCCCATCGTCCAAAGGGTACCTGCGTAAAAATAATTAGCAATTAATAGTAATAATAATAATACACAATTCAGTAATAAAAAATATATATATATAATAATTATAATGCCAAATACACTCTTGTGCTTCGTGGCGACGAACTTTAGTGACGAAAGACTAGTTCTAAAATTACCTGGATATTCAGAACTATATTAGTTTTCACTCTCACCTGAAGGTTCCCTGTATGTTCTGGCCGGGGGAGCCGGGTCGGCCCACGATGTTCGTAGCAATGCCGTTTTCAGTCTCGAAATTATAGTTGAAGTTGCCATCGCCGGAGTCCTGACGCTCGTCCCTCAACACAGCAATGTGGCGAGGGTCGTCCTCCCGGTACTGTGGGGCGGCGACCGCTGCGGCAGCGAGGCAGGCCAAGATTACCTGAGGACGGCGCCCAGGACAGGAAACAACGGGTGAGAGGAAATATGTAGTGAAGGTCCGGCGAGTCATCCATGTGGGCTTTGTCACCCATCTTTACATCAACAAGATGTTACCATACATCTTACCATGGAAGCGTGTTTGGTAGCAAATCCTAAAGTTATACCTTCTCATGGGGCGGTGACTGGACCGCCCCATGATCTGAGGCAGCACACACACCATCAGTTATTACCCCCATGATAATTAACACACGTATATACTTAATGCTTAATAACCTGACTGGTTCCAGTATCTGTCCAGACACAAACAAAACCCAAGTGTGCTATAAACTTCCCCAATATGATGACTTAGCGTCAGCACCTTGCAAGAACCATATTGAATACTATCCTTTGCGTTGCTCAGATATCCCCAACACTCTTCTCTGCTAGCACTTCTCAATGTCCTAACACTAATACTTTCAAATTCTGACGATCACTCTCATCATGCTAGAAGTTATGATGTTTACTCTAACGCCAACTTGTAGCATTCTAGCATGTATGTTCTTCATTCGAACGGTAACTGTAATCATTTAAGCAGTTATGTTCTTCACTCTAACGTTAATTCCTATCCCACTTACATCTCTGTTCTCTAATCTAAAACGCAGCGTTCTCGGCTCCCTCCCTCTTAACACACGATATTAGTTTGATTAGCCAGATTTGCCTGGGTAAAAAACCTCTCTTTCACATGTCTTGAACACGTGTGTTCTACATAATCAACAATGAAATAGAAATTCTTTATACTGAAACATATATATTTTAAGCACTACTTTGTCAAACGTTGTTAACTATGTTAAACTACTTTGTTAAACTGTTATACTGCACTTGGACAAACTGACGCGCCAAAATGCCTAGTTCCCACACCTGGCCTCCGCTCCTGCGTGAAACACGAGTTGATTTCCTAGAGTTTCTCATATACCAGCAGATAGCAGCAGATAGAGCCCAATTTCCTGTGAGCTGGCATAGCTCATTTTCCTAGGAACAGATATAACCAAATTTCCCGGGAAGAGATGCAGCCCAATTTCTTAGCAGCTAACATAACTCAATTTCCCAAAAGCAGACATCACCCACGACGATTGACGCATGCTAGGAGGACAGAGATTTGCCCATCTGCTGTACATCACCGTCACAACACATCCCAACTACAGCCAGATCAATCACGGTCAATACCCCTACCGTTGCTCACATATCCTCTCCTCCGCCCTTGCTAATACACACATCGTGCCAGCGACCCCCACTCACTGAGCAACTTGGAAGACATCCACCTCACCCCTCAACTCAGTCAATCATTCCCACTATCTACTACGCCCATCCACATCGCCTGCTACCACCCACGACCATTCAAAGCAGTGAGACGACCACCACCACCGCCTACCACCACCCACAACCACCACCACCCAATCCTCTGCTTTACTCACGAGCTGCATGTTGACTGAGTGTGTGGTCGGAAGTGTGATGTCCTGAAGATGCTGCGGAACTTATATACCCGCTCTCCACGACAGGATCACCTTCGCAGGGTGTCGGCGGGACCAGGGAACATCTCTGGGCAAGGCAAGGCTGTCCGGTGTCCTTGAAGGCAAAGGGTAGACGGGATACGATATCAGGCTAAGCTCACCATCTGCAAACAAAGGAATTAATTTACAGTGACAAATATCTCTCTGGTGTGAAAGGTGGGACGATGCTGCCACAGACAAAATCTTCAGACTGAATGAAAGTTTAAAATTAATATTTTATTAAATTCACTATAAATTTCATCTGATTTAAATGTTTACACATCTACGTATAACTGTAAATACATATAATAATATATATTTTTGAATGAAGTTAAAATAGATTGATTAAATTTGATTTACAACTAAAAATGTAGTTATATATAAACACTAAAAGTATTAATAGTACATTACTAATGCGAGGTGTTAATACAGTACTAATATAAGAGTATTAATACAGCATTAATACAAGGGTATCTATGGGGGAGAAGATGATGGGGGGGTGGAAGTACCATCGCCCGAGCGTTACATTCCTTAGCGGCTGTGAGGAATGTACAGCTGTAATATTACAGTTACCTGCAGACGGCACTGGTAGTGGGTGTGTACTCACCTAGTTGAGTTTGCGGGGGTTGAGCTTTGGCTCTTTGGTCCAGCCTCTCAACTGTCAATCAACTGGTGTACAGGTTCCTGAGCCTACTGGGCTCTATCATATCTACATTTGAAACTGTGTATGGAGTCAGCCACCACCACATCACTGCTTAACGCATTCCATTTGTTAACTACTCTGACACTGAAAAAATTCTTTCTAACGTCTCTGTGGTTCATCTGGGTACTAAGTTTCTACCTGTGTCCCCTTGTTCGTGTTCCATCCGCGCTAAAGAGTTTGTCTTTTTCCACCCTGCCAATTCCCCTGAGAATTTTGTAGGTGGTTATCATGTCTCCCCTTACTCTTCTGTTTTCCAGGGTTGTGAGGTTCAGCTCTCTTAGTCTTTCTTCGTAACTCATTTCTCTCAGCTCCGGGACCAGTCTGGTGGCATACCTCTGAATCTTCTCTAACTTCGTCTTGTGTTTAACTGGGTATGGACTCCAGGCTGGAGCTGCATACTCCAGGATTGGTCTTATATAAGTGGTATACAGGGTGTGTGTGTGTGTGTGTGTGTGTGTGTGTGTGTGTGTGTGTGTGTGTGTGTGTGTGTGTGTGTGTGTGTGTGTGTGTGTCCAACACACACCTCCGTCCCTTTTGTGTATGTTGTTTATGATTATATTTCTATCGTTGTGTATTGAGTTAAAAGATGTAGTGAGCTACGTCTCTTTTTATGCTCTTAATAGATTTATTACATCAGGCGTAAAATATTACTTTGCTGGGGGATTACTTCCAGCCCGTTGAGTTTACCGACTTGGGATTACTCCCAGCCCGTTGAGTTTACCGACTGGGGATTACTCCCAGCCCGTTGAGTTTACCGACTTGGGATTACTCCCAGCCCGTTGAGTTTACCGACTTGGGATTACTCCCAGCCCGTTGAGTTTACCGACTTGGGATTACTCCCAGCCCGTTGAGTTTACTGAACTACTTCTTGCCTGAAACATTTACTCATTGGGGACCTTTAGTTTACTGACTGTGGATTACTCCCAATTCGATGAGTTTAATGGCTGGGGAGAACTATTTGGTCGTTGAGCTTACTGATTGGGGATTACTCCAAGCTCGTTGAGCTTACTGACTAGGGATTACACCCATCTCGTTAAGCTTACTGACTATTGATTACTCACACCTCGTTAACGTTACTGACTACGGATTACTCCCATCTCATTAAGTCTACTGACTAGGGATTACTCTCAGCTCGTTAAGCTTACTGACTACAGATTACTCCCACCTCGTTAAACTTACTGACTAGATATTACTAGCAAGTATACTTGCTGGCAAATACATACAGCTCGTTGAGTTTTCTATCTAGGGTTTACTCCTAGATCGTTGACTTTACTTAATAGGTATTACTCCCATCTAGTTGAGTTTACTTGCTGTGAATTAATCCCAGCTCGTTCAGTTTACAATTACTGGTCATTATTTCCAGCTCATGTAATTTACCGACTGGGGGATTAATCACCGGATTACTCACGCAGTTTGTTGATTTTTCTAATAAATCCCAGTTCGTCGATTTATCGGATTTGTTTCACAGTTACTGTACCAAGCAACACATGCGTATTGTATTCTGAGACCCAATAATCCCCTGGAAACTACAGCCAACACTACCAGCTCTCACGGTGTCATTATAACCATCAATACGGTAACTACCATTATTACGACTACTGATACTATTACTACTATTTTAATTGATACGTCTATATTAATAGCAACAGCAGAAGCCTCACAACTAGCGCTGTGTACTTAGCTGGAACCATTGAAGAACTCATATTTCTTCAAAGGTTCGTGTAACTTGAAGAACACCAAACACACGACAAAACTTCGACGTTAACACCTGACAAGTTGAAGTAACCAATATATCAAGTTGCAACAACGTTCTAATACGTCAAACTAAACGTTATAACAATATGTAAACACTTTATTAAAAGAATCGACTTGAGAATGGTCCAGGACGGACCGAAACGTCGTCGTACCTTCACCTTCTAGTGTGTGGTCTGGTGAACTTTATTACAAGTTGTAACAAGCTGAAAATAGAGATAGTTACGTTATGTTTGCAGGAACCACGGTCCCAAAATTGTCCTCGACAGAGAGACGTTCTTCAGGAGACGTAATCCAAGGCTGGGTGGGTGTGTGAGTGACGGGGTGGGTGGTGGTGGTGGGTGTGTGAGTGACGGGGTGGGTGGTGGTGGGTGGTGGTGGTGGGTGTGTGAGTGACGGGGTAGGTGGTGGTGGTGGGTGTGTGAGTGACGGGGTAGGTGGTGGTGGTGGGTGTGTGAGTGACGGGATGGGTGGTGGTGGTGGGTGTGTTAGTGACGGGGTGGGTGGTGGTGTTGGGTGTGTGAGTGACGGGGTAGGTGGTGGTGGTGGGTGTGTCAGTGACGGGGTGGGTGGTGGTGGTGGGTGTGTGAGTGACGTGGTGGGTGGTGGTGGTGGGTGTGTGAGTGACAAGGTGGGTGGTGGTGGTAGTGGGTGTGTGAGTGACGGGGTGGGTGGTGGTGGTGGGTGTGTGAGTGACGGGGTGGGTGGTGGAGGTGGGTGTGTGTGAGTGACGGGGTGGGTGGTGGAGGTGGGTGTGTGACAGGGTGTGTGGTGGAGGTGGGTGTGTGAGTGACGGGGTGGGTGGTGGTGGTGGGTATGTGAGTGACGGGGTGGGTGGTGGATGTGGGTGTGTGAGTAACGAGGTGGGTGGTGGAGGTGGGTGTGTGAGTGACATGGTGGGTGGTGGTGGTGGGTGTGTGAGTGACGGGGTGGGTGGTGGAGGTGGGTGTGTGAGTGACGGGGTGGGTGGTGGTGGTGGGTGTGAGAGTGACGGGGTGGGTGGTGGCGATGGGTGTGTGAGTGACGGGGTGGGTGGTGGCGATGGGTGTGTGAGTGACGGGGTGGGTGGTGGAGGTGGGTGTGTGAGTCACGGGGTGGGTGGTGGTGGTGGGTGTGTGAGTGACGGGGCGGGCGTGTGACTGACGGGGTGGGTGGTGGTGGTGGGTGTGTGAGTGACGGGGCGGGCGTGTGACTGACGGGGTGGGTGGTGGTGGTGGGTGTGTGAGTCACGGGGTGGGTGGTGGTGGTGGGTGTGTGAGTGACGGGGTGGGTGTGTGAGTGACGGGGTGGGTGGTGGTAGTGGTGGATGTGTGAGTGACGGGGTGGGTGGTGGTGGTGGTGGGTGTGTGAGTGACGGGGTGGGTGGTGGTGGTGGGTGGGTGAGGGACGAGGTAGGTGGTGTAGGTGGGTGTGTGAGTGACGGGGTGGGTGGTGGAGGTGGGTGTGTGAGTGACGGGGTGGGTGGTGGAGGTGGGTGTGTGAGTGACGGGGTGGGTGGTGATGGTGGGTACGCTGGATACTGTTGTGTAAAAGGTGGGTGTTCTGGCTAGCGGGACGGAGAGGTTGGTATAGGTTAACAAGGGCGTGCTGGTCGAACAGGTGCCCACCTGCCTGCCTACCTGACTGCCAGCCCGCCTGCCTCCGTGCCTGCCTCCCTCCCTGCCTGCCTGCCTGCCTGCCTGCCTGCCTGCCTGCCTGCCTGCCTGCCTGCCTGCCTGCCTGCCTGCCTGCCTGCCTGCCTGCCTGCCAGGCTGACGCTAGCACCAAGATCGGGACACTAGATGCCGAGGACCAGTTTTTGTTCCAGAATGGAAAGTGAATTGCAGGTGCGTCGTCTGCCCCTAGTTCTGGGTCGACCCACCTTTTTTATAATATTTATGTTTACGACAATATTTGTACTAGGTGAGTCTAGGGTTCACCTAGCGAGGTGAGTCAAGGGTTCACCTAGCGAGGTGAGTCTATGGCTCACCTAGCGAAGTGAGTCTATGGCTCATCTTGCCTAGGAAGCCTATTATTGCCGCTTCGTGGTCGGCGAAGGAGGGTCTCCCTGCTTCTTCAACCCAACCTCCTAAAATTATAGTACTTTATAGTAACTATTTCGTTGAACGTACCGTTATGTACTCTTGGACCCGACCAAAACTCACGTTCTGCACTACTCATTTTCCGTAAAAGCTCAAAGGAAACTTAAACATTCCTAGGCCTAGCATATAAAATATATGTACTCTAATAAGTCTAAGTTAGATTGTATAAGGCCTAAGATTGCTATTCAGGTTAAGTTAGTTTAGATCAGATTCTATAGTTACTTCTTTTATTTAATCGACTTCCGTTTGGGGCTAATTCAGTAGTACGGAGCGTGATCTTTTGAGGGTCCAACAGTCCATATTGGTACACTTGACAAATAGTTGCTGTAAGAACGATCATATATTAGGAGGATGGGCTGAGTTCTTATAGGTCCTGAGCGCTCTAGCCGACACTTTATAACACTCGGGCGCTAATGCACGGCTCCTTAATATATTGGGCGACCTGTGAACTCCGCTGCGAGTCTTGAGTGCCACTTTTATTCATTTTCTTCTGGGAG